TTTTTTTTTTTTTTTTTTTTAGGGTTTGGTCATTTATCAGTAGCGTCGTTTGAAGTTTTATAATTTTTTTAAATGAGTTTTTACATTGGAATCGTTACCAAGGTGGGTTTTTCTACTTTTAGTGTTTTTTAGATGCATTATTTTGAACAGGTGATAAAATTATAGCACATTTACTGTGTGAGTTTCCCACTGCGGAATTTGCTGAATCGTTCTCCAGTACGATCTATCATGCTGGAGAAGTATCGAATATCTTTCTTTTCATGGGCAGTTCTTTGATTTAGTTTGCTGCATACTAATATTTGGTTTGTTGCTATATATTTTCTTTATAGCAGTATTTTGGTTAAAAAGGAATACAATTAAAAATCAAATTGATCTTCATCAGTGTTTAAAGCCGTCACTTTGATTAAGGCAATGCTTTTCAGTGACGACTTTTGGTCATCGCTGAGAGTACTTTGACAACGTTTACAACAGCATCTAAATAAGATAACCAAAATTTTAAAAAAGCGGTTAACATGAGGAAGCTGAGTGAAGTAAAATTGTTAAAGTGGCTTTAAAAGACTGTCTTATGCTTAAGGCTTATAATCTTACATAGCATTATTATCCAGAGGAATATTGTTAGTTAGGTGCTTTGGTTTTCTATCTTACAGACCCTTATCCCAGTTGTTTTTAGTACATTTGTACCTTTATATGACATTACAGTATAAAATCACTAAATTTTGTAATATTTGTATTTTTAAATTTTTAATAAGTGAACGTATTGCATCGGTTGTGCAGTACAGGTGAACTTTTTTTTGTCGTCGAGATAACCAGGCAGGTCGGTCACAAAACTGTTTAAACACATTAGGCGTGTTATTGGTAACATTTGTGTTTCTCAATTCGTTTACTGCTGTATCCGTTTAAGTTCTTTCACGCTTCACTGTAATTTGAGTCTACTGCGCAGTTTTCGCTTCATAAAAAATTAGGGAATTTTGAAGGGCTTTTCATATCCTCTCTGCACGGCGGAATCCATAGTTTTCTCAACGAAGAGTCGAGGGAAAACTTCACATTGTTTTATCAGCAGCGACTAACGTTAATAATTTGACGGTACGCCCTTTATATACTATTTATTGACGGGTGATCAAACGGATTGAGGAGTGTCTTTTTCAAAAGGTTTCTGTTCATTAATTTTATTGTTAGGCTTTTTTAACCATCTTTCATTATCTCCTTTTACTAGAGTAGCTATAAGAGTATTCCGACATGAGTCTCTCTCTGTTTAGTGGCCTATCTTCCTTATTGGTTGTAATGACACAGAGTCACATTTATTACAATTACTTTCATTGACTTCATCAGCTGAAAAAAAAAAGTGGGGCCAGCAAACTGAAACAGCTTCTTAGAAATTAGTTTTTATTTATTCATCATTGAAAACTTTTTGGTTGGTTAAGCTACATCATTATAAGTTGCGATTTTTTACGTTGGTGTAGGCAAGCAATAAGGATTTTTTGCGTAGAAGAGCAACCAATTTTAATGTGAATTTTGCA